GGCGATGATGCCGATGACGGCGGCGACGAGGAGGATGGCGGTGAAGCCGCCGATGGCTGCTTTATTTACCATGTCTTGTTGTTGGGGAGGTTGGGCTCGATGAAGGATGAAGGGGGAAGGGAAGGGAGGATTATATATACTGGGTTTGTTTGGAGCTGGCAAAAGGTTAAGGATGTGGAGGGGAGTGGTTTGCGAGGGTTTGGGAGTTTCTGGTTGGTATCGAGGTTTTGGGTAATGATTGGACCGCTTCTATTTTTGTAGATTTAGTTTGTACAGATGAAACGATTATGCGGGAAATCCGGCCGTTGAATTTTGAAAGTTATGCTGGTTTGGTTGATGATTATCATGATTTGAATATGAATGAAATCCTTGTAGAAAGATAAGTCAAGAGGTGTCATATACTTTGTGCACGAGCTTGGCAAGTGGAGATTAGAATGAACTTGTCAGGTTGTGTTCGAGATGTATTTGATTATTAGTTAGTCAAGTTTAGAATGGAAAGGGAAGAGGGCTCGCCAGTTGTGTTTAAGATAGATTCGTCAAAATGCTCCCGAAGAGACTCGTTAGTTGAGTTTGAAATATTTACTCGCAAGAAATGCGACAAACTGGCTATGAGACACATTTATTGATTAAGCTCATGAAGAACTCGACCATATATTATCAAAGGACTTGCCTCTTAGGTCTAGGATCCAACCCTAAACCAATCATCCCTTCTATCTATGGGCACAAATTTTATGCCTATTGACTTTAGTAGATGGCTAACCCTACAAAAAACTTAAGCACCTTCTTCCTTTGAGTTTAGATGGACTCAACTTGAACTCTAGCTTATCAAATAAAGTTAGAAAAATAATAACATGCTCATTGTGAAACCAAGGAAAAAAAAAAGAAAAAACAATAGTTCAGTTAAGCCCAAGTCAAACCTTAAGCCACTCTAGAAGTCCCGTAGACCTAATGAACCAAAATTAAATCTAAGACCATAGGTTCTATATAGTTGCACTAAACCTCCCCTTGGTTTCTCCCTTGAGTCAAGGAGGCTTCGTTAACCCTCTTTGACCAAGTCATCCCATAGTCACCTTGTCTGACCCAACCACTAAAATCATGTAAGTTTTTTGCTTAAAATTTTGATTTTTAATGATTCTAACATGCCTAAGGATTTCTAAGGACAATTCTTAAGTTAGTCCAAACTACATATTTTCATATAGCTAAACTTACTAGAACAAGTAACCAGTTATTAACCTAAACCAAAATAATCTAATAATGCCCCATTTTGGTTTCAAATGACGCTAATGAGCCTAAGATAAAATTTGAATTCATCCGAGCACAACTATGGATCGGTCAATCTCCTTCAATAAAAAGACCCACTGATAATTTTATGAACAAAATTGAATCAAAGTTGAATTAGGCCAAACACCTCCTTAGGTCACACCATAGCAAACAAACTTATTTCTATGGCAATTGGACCCCAATTTGCTATTGATGGGCAATGACTTTTAATGACCTATTAAGGCCCCTTTGAGCCATTTCAACCTAAAAGAATTTTTAAGGAAATCAAACTAGTCTAACAATATCTTAAGATCAATATATCTAATCAAGTGCAAGCATAAAATCATTTGAGCAAACTCAAATTCAATGGTTCATAATCAATATTGAATCATTAAGGTTCACTTCTGACAACTTCACTCAAATTAGCTCCAATTGAAAATATTTTAGCCAAAATTTTTCTTAGATTCAGAACTACTCCTTAGCTTAACCAAATACAAGCTTGTTGACATCACATTCGATATCGTATTGGTGGGGTGTCTAATTGAATGTTGCGGGACTATATTTTGCTCACTCACTGTCTCCCGTGATCCGAGGCATCCATTAGAATCATTGTGACTAGACTTATATTTGTTTTCTAGTGGTAGTTGGATTAATGAATACATTAGAATTCATATCTAAATCGGATTTGAGGATTAACTAGAGACATTAGTATGGGCATAGAACATTATCTAAATCGGATTTGAGGATTAACTAGAGACATTATTAGTTTGGGCATAGAACATGTCCATCTAAATTCTTTTACTTCCTTTATCTGGCCTTGTTTTCTTCAATCTGGTTTAATAAACCAGTTGATGAATGGATGATTTTAGACTACCTTATAACTATAAGAGATGCATACTTGGATGATTTTAGACTACCTTATAACTGTAAGAGATATGGTGATGCCTGAGGTTGGTGCTCCCGAGCTAATATATTAGGGATAATTGTATTCATGGGATTAGACAAGATAAATATATTTAAAAGTACCCAATTGATTAGTGAAGTGATTCCATTAGAATTGAAAGTAAAAGTAAGGAATGACATTGAAAGTAAGGAATGACAGTGTGATGAGTTAAGGGAAGAATTGACCTCATTTATCAAGTGTGTTTGTGTATGTGTTACAACAATATAAAGGACTTAGGGAGCACATAAATATATTTCTATGTTGATACCGGTTATGCTAGTTAGACTTTTCTTTAGTTTAATTTCATTTTAACATATTTTAGTTTAGATTTGCTTTCTACTGCAAACTGT